ATTTGCGCTTTCTAAAATTAAAATGCAGTACCACTAATAACTAATTATCTACCAGTCATCATTATCTTGAACTATGACTGTCAATGAATCACAACACACGTGATCTATACAACAGCACCCCTCCAAGATAAACACACTTATTGTGAAGGTATACATCCTGCTGACTGTTGCTTTGGGTCACGGTTCTCATTTCCCACAATGCTTTGTGTCTGCTTACGTAGCAGGAAGGTAATGTTTAGAACTCCATGTCCCAGCTAAAACAGTTAACGTTTGTAATCCATACTAAAATTTTGTATGTATTAATTATTTTAATTTACAATCGGAGCTCCTTTTTAAAAAAAAAAGTTTAAACGCTGGAGCTCGATACTTGACGTAATTGGTCGAAGCAATCGGCCAACAGGGTTAGAGATGCAGAAATGATTTAAAGATGTTGTGCTGACGAAGACTGACATTTAGCGGTCAACTGGAGCAACTACATGGAAAACTTTAAAATCCACGCTCTTATTTTGAAGTGAAGATAGTTTCCTGTGCTCCGTGCTTTCGTTTCCCGTCACAAACTGGGGCGGCTGTGGTAGAGTGGTTAGGGGAGTCGTCCTGGAACTGGAAGGTCGCTGGTTCGATCCCCGTCCAGTCGACTCAGTCGTTGTGTCCTTGGGCAAGACACCTTACCCGCCTTGCCTACTGATGGTGGTCAGAGGGTCCGGTGGCGCCTGTGCATGGCAGCCTCGCCTCTGTCAGTGTGCCCCAGGGCAGTTGTGGCTACAATTGTAGTTTGCCATCATCAGTGTGTGAATGTGTGTGTGCATGGGTGAATGTTAAAGCACTTTGAGTGTCCTGGATGGATAGAATGGCGCTATATAAGTACAGACCATTTACCATTTACCAAATTAAATCTGTCGTGTACCCAGAATGCATCACTTCAATTTTCCAATAAACAGTTTTAAAATGACTTTATTGCTGCTTCTTTAATGAAAAATCTACAACAAACAAAAGAAAAAGACAAAGAAGCAGCCGCACTAGTAATCCTCAACAACTTTTTAATTTTTACACCAGGAGCCAAAGGTCTGTTTCAGGAAATCACATCCCTTAGCAATCGGTGCTTGTAGGATTGAGCTGTACAAGGATTCATACACCGCTAGTTGGCAGTGTTGGGCTTATATTGTACATGAATTCTTACCAGTTAACAAGTGTCAAATTGAACTTGCACTTTAAAATTAGCTTCTACTAGTTTTTCTGTGGCATAAGCGCTTTAGAAATTGCAGAGCTAATTTTTGGTTTAGTGCTGCCCACCACTGTAAACAATCATAACACAGTATCAAATGAAACTGTTGTTAATTAAGACCTGCGAGGCGCCAAAAAGCCCGAGGAGCATAACATTGTAAAAATATCATTGTATTTTTGTATAGAAAAATCACCAAAACAAGTCTGTTTGGATGATAAAACTCTGAATGACTCAGTTCTTTTTCCTTTTCCAAAGAAATCTTTGTAACTTTTGACTTTATTATTTTTAATAAAATGATCAAGTTTAAACAGGATTCCCACACCTTGGTCAACATCAAATTCAAGAACCTTTCAAGGACTTTCCAGTACCAATTTCCTCAAATTCAAGAACCATGTGCAATGGCAATTACCTACTGCTACTAATAAACAGGTTTAATATTACGTAATTCAATAAAAAAAATTCATTGAATTTTTTCAGATTCAAAAACTTTCAAGGATTTCAAGGACCCATGGGAACCCTGTTTGAATGCGTCTTTGAGAGAGGTGGGGAGTATCAGGAGATGGGGGTCTCAGTAAGGAAAGGGGGGCTTTTAGTAAAACAGGATGGGAACCTGTGATTAAAAGACATATTTAAAGTACTTGAAAAAATAACTAAGTAAAAATTATAAATATAATAAATATACCTTAACAGAAAAGTACCTGCTCATAATAATTGAGAAAGTAAAAGTGCTTTTACACACATACTCTGATGAGTAAAATGAAATGCTGCAGTTACTAAACCAATTAACCAGTTTACATAACTAGTTTAAATAAATAATCACTTCATAAACAACTCTTCATGATGAGCTCGGTCATATTTAAATTTGTAACGAGGTGTTAAATCTTAAAGTAAGAAAACATTATTGATACAATTACAAATCACCTCTGGATTTTACAGACTATTGAGGATGACTCTCTGCTACTACCACACCAGATTTCAGCTGAATATCTGTAAAACTGTTGGAGTTGTGGCCATTTGTGTGTTTAAGGCCCGCTGTCTGCGGCGGCCATCTTGAATTAGGAGATATTTGGCTAAAAAAGCGTAGCTAACCATCAGCTGCTGTCGGCTACTAGCACAGCAGATTTGAACATCAGTAGATTTTACACACAGATGCTGGAGTTAGAATAAATCTTATTTATGAGAAACTGAGATGTAAACATTTATATTCAGCTATTTTTAATTAAACACCTTCTTAAGTTTCACTGTAAAAATAAACATTACAGAGAGCTGAAGCCTCGCAGCTTGTTTTGAAACAAACATTTAACTTTTTATTTAATAATTTTTTTTCTGCTGTTCGGCAGCATTTACGAGGTTATTTTAGTGTGTGTGTGTGTGTGTGTGTGTACTATGTGTGTGTTTAGTTGCCCCTCTGATGGATTATATTTAGCCTGAAGAGCAACAGGGGGATTCGCCCTCTGTTCTCCGAGCGGACGTATCAGCAGCTATTAGCCGCCCGTCTCCCTGCAGCTTCTCACATCAGCTAAAACACGATTACTCAGCTGTCACTCATCTCAGCCTCCAGCACTCAGGATTATCGTGCAAAATGAAAACTACTGTTCACACATGCAGCAAAAACAAACTTTCTAATCATTGAACTTGGATGCAGAGCAGCAGGGTGGAGTGGAGTAACACAATCTGCCCACTGACACTAATTAACACGTCCTGTTTTATTCCTGTGAAACATTACTTTATGTTTTAGCTTTAAAGAGCCTCTGACAAATAAAAACACATTTTCATTCATCTGAGGTTTCTTTAGATTATTCTGAAGAGTTGGAGTTCAGTTTGTGGACTTGGAGAAGGCGTTCGACCGTGTCCCAAGGGGGGCCTTGTGGGGGGTTCTCCGGGAGTATGGGGTACCGGGCATTCTGATACGGGCTGTCAGGTCCTTGTACGACCGGTGTCAGAGTCTGGTCCGCATTGCCGGCAGTAAGTCGGGCTCGTTTCTGGTGAGAGTTGGACTCCGCCAAGGCTGCCCTTTGTCACCGATTCTGTTCATTACTTTCATGGACAGAATTTCTAGGCGCAGCCGAGGTGTTGAGGGGATCCGTTTTGGTGGTCTTAGGATCACATCTCTGCTTTTTGCGGATGATGTGGTCCTGTTGGCTTCATCGGAACGAGATCTGCAGCTCTCGCTGGAGCGGTTCACGGCCGAGTGCGAAGCGGCCGGGATGAAGCTCAGTGCCTCCAAATCCGAGGCCATGGTCTTGAGCCGGAAAAGGGCAGAGTGCCTTCTCCGGGTCAGGGGGGTCGTCCTGTCTCAAGTGGAGGAGTTTAAGTATCTGGGGATCTTGTTCATGAATGGGGGAAGAACGGAGCGGGAGATCGACAGGCGGATTGGCGCAGCGTCTGCTGTAAAGCGGGCGCTGTACCGGTCCGTCGTGGTGAAGAGAGAGCTGAGTCAGAAAGCGAAGCTCTCGATTTACCGGTCGATCTACGTTCCTACCCTCATCTATGGTCATGAGCTTTGGGTCATGACCAAAAGAACGAGGTCCCGGATACAAGCGGCCGAAATGGGTTTCCTCCGCAGGGTGGCTGGGCTCTCCCTTAGAGATAGGGTGAGAAGCTCGGTCATCCAGGAGGGACTCAGAGTAGAGCCGCTGCTCCTCCACGTCCAGAGGAGCCAGTTGAGGTGGCTCGGGCATCTGGTAAGGATGCCTCCTGGACGCCTCCCTGGTGTGGTGTTCCGGGCACGTCCCACCGGGAGGAGGCCCCGAGGAAGACCCAGGACACGCTGGAGGGACTATGTCTCTCGGCTGGCCTGGGAACGCCTTGGAGTTCCCCCGGAGGAGCTGGAAGAAGTGGCTGGGGAGAGGGAGGTCTGGGCCTCCCTTCTGAAGCTGCTGCCCCCGCGACCCGACCCCGGATAGGTGGAAGAAAATGGATGGATGGATGGATGGATGGATGGATGGATGGATGGATGGATGGAAGGATGGATGGATGGATGCATGGATGGATGGGGTTGGAGTTCAGATGTTATTGTTTCAGGGAGTTCCACTGGTCACTTCCTGTTTCACTTCGACTGCACCAAGTAAACTATTCATATTTATGACAAGAAGCACCTGCTTTACTCTTCAAACAGCAACAAATTCTTTAACAGAACAGAAGAGAAGAGAACGGGACGGACCTGTTTGACCCGGTCCGGGTTGACGGTGGTCTGCGGCTGCAGGATGCTGACCGGTTCTGTCTTCTGGGTGCTCTGAGGCATCTCCCTCACCTTCTCAGCGATGAAGTCATGAACGCCGTTCAGAGCTTCCACCGTCCCCTGGATCAGACACACCCGCTCTGTCGTGCCTAAACACAAACACACACACACACACACACATTAAAGCCAAGCTATGACAAACTGAAGAAAATCCTAATTAAAAATAAATAAATAATATAAACGACACATTACAATTAATAACTCAGTGTAATGTTAGAAACAGTGTTTCTGTGTGAGTAAAACTGGAGCACAAACAGAGTTCTGGAGTCATCGGACCATCAAACAAAGAGAATCCAGGCCAAATCCTCTGAGTGTGTCATCAGAACAGAAGTGAAATTAAACCGTTTCAAACTTTATTCTGACTCATTAATTCTCCTCGTCTCCTTTTGTCTCATTTGTTTTGATCTCTCTCCATCCTTTCCCCTGGACTCCGTCTGTTCCAGGCTTATCGCGGCCCGGCAGCGCGTCACTCTCCGCTTCCTGCCCCCCTCCCTTTCCCCTGCGCCTTTAGCCGGGCCCGGCTCGGCTCGGCTCGACTTGGCCCAGCTGGGCCCTCTGAGGGTTCACTCAGAATCAGTCCAGTTACAGATAAATCAGAGCAGCGCTGCCAAAGAGAGGTTTCAGAGCCTGAGAGCAGCAGAGGCTAAATATAACCGGAGCCGGGGCTACCTGTCTGTTCTGGACCCTCATGAAGCTCGTTAGCATTACAGCGTTATTAACATCCATTCCTATTTTTACAGTTTGGTGACAACAGTGACAAACAGCCTCTGCTGACAGCCGTCAAATGCTTCTGTTGGCTCCAGCGAGCGTGATGACAAGCTCGACAAATCGTGTTAGTTTAAACACGAAAATGAGTCGTCACACGTAGCATCATGCTAACGTGTTGCTGTTCAGCTTCTCTCTGCTTTATTCAGCTTTTATAGACAAGCTTTACCATTAAAGTGAGTGTGTGTGTGTGTGTGTGTGTGTGTGTGTGTGT